TGATTTAATAACTTTGTTTGGAGCGAATAAGGGGAATCGAACCCCCATCAATAGCTTGGAAGGCTATGGCTCTACCATTGAGCTATATTCGCAGTAGCGGAAATTTTACTTTCCGCTCTTTATTATTTACTTTTTTTGCTAATCTCATTTTTTAAATCAACCGAGAATTTCGCTTTAGGAACCCTTTTGGCCGGAATATTCATTTTTTTCTTAGTTTGTAAATTCATGGCCACACGAGCCTTTTGTAATGTTGTTTGTAGAGAAAAATATCCTGGAAAACTAACCTTCTCTCCTTTAATGAGAGCTTTTTCGATTTCCTCTAATATTCCACCAATCACGGCATCAATTTGTGATTTACTTAATGCTTTTAATAAACTTCTTCGTCCTTCTGAATAACGACTCTTTGAATTATAAACTCTTTCAGCCAATCCGGCTTTTCCTATCACTGTTACTTTTGTTGCTGTTGTCTTTCGTGGTATTACCATATATTTTTATTTTAATTATATTTATGTACTGGTGGTTTAGGGCAGAATCGAACTGCCGACCTTCTGATCTTCAGTCAGACGCTCTAACCGACTGAGCTACCAAACCTTTTATTTACTTGCTAATTATCATTATCACTCGTGGATGTCCTGAATAATCGGGGAAAATAGAAATTTGAACTCGGACCAAATGTTCTATTATTAATTTTATGACATTTTCGGCTTGCTGGGGGCCAATTTCGACCATTAAAAGGAATTTTTTTGCTAAAAAATGGCGAGCCTGACGGAAAATTTTTTGATAGAAAAAATAGCCCTCATTGGCGGCTATTAAGGCTTTTCGGGGCTGCTCTTTGACTGCCGGAACTAAATCTTGATATTCACTTTTGCTGACATAAGGTGGGTTAGCCACAATAATATTAAATTTTTCTTTCTTGTCTATATTACTAAATAAATCACTTTTGATAAATCGAATATTTTTTGCTTCCTGACGAGCGGCGTTTATTTTCGCCACTTTTAAGGCCTGCTCGTTGATATCCACAGCCAAAAAATCATCTGCTGGCCGATTTTTCGCCAAAGAAATTACTATATTTCCACAACCCGTGCCGATATCCAAAAATTTTAATTTCTTTTCACTTTTTCAGCACTTATTCACTCATTCAAGGGTTTTTTTT